GGGCCGGCAGAGCACGCCGGGGCCGCAGCAGCAGCACGCCCGCCTCTTCGAAGGTCTCGCGGATGGCACAGATGCGCTCGGCCACGTCATCAGGCAGCGCCGCGGGGTCGGCGGCGTCGGGCTGGAAGTCAGGCAGCCCCGGGAGAAAGGCGGCGCGCGGGCGCGCCGACAGGCCCAGGCCGAAGCGTGGAGGCTCGTGGTGCGGCGCGAAGAGACGAAGCCAGTCCGGCGAGCGATCCGCCGCGTCCAGCACGCCGCCCGGGAAGACGTGAGCGTTGGGCAGGAAGCCCTGATTGGCGGCCCGCTTCAGCAGCAGTAGCCGGAAGTCCTCGGCCGGCGGCGGGGGCAACGACCCGGCCGCGGCCGGGCGGGTCCAGCCGGCCGCCAGGATCACCGTGGCTGCCCGCCGCCAGAGGCTGGGGCCGGGAGGCAGAGCGGTGCTCATGGAGGGAGATGGAGCTCGGCTCCGATCCTAGATCGCCTGGAGGGCTGGGCGCCAATCCCGGCTCCCTTCCCGAGCGGGAGAAGCAGCACCCGGTGCTCAGCAAGCTGACCTAGTCAGCCTTTGCTCAGACTGACGCCGGCCCGTGGGAGGAGCATTGCCCTCCTCCACTCTCCTCACACCCTTCTCCTCCTCCTCCTCCTCCCCCCCTTCCCCCCCTTCTTCCTCCCTCCTCTGTCTCTATCCCTTCCTCTGCTTTCTACCTCTCTCCTCCTTCCCGTCCCACCAAAGGCCTGTTTTTGCCCTGGTCAGTCTCCTGGAACACTTGGGCTATCAACCACTGCCAGGGATCTAGCGATTGGCCTTAATAGGGAGACTTAACCTATCTCTCACTCAGAACCAGAAGGGCCCTGATGCCTTCAAGTCTATCATCCTGACTACTCTGGAGGCTGAGATCTAAGGATCATGGTGGGAAAGCCAAGCCAGGGCAGACAAACCTGAGAAATTCTTGTTTCTAGTGAAGCAACAACAAAAACCGGAAGTGGAGGTGGGGCTCAGGTGGTAGTGTGTCAGCCTTGAGCCAGAAAGGTAAGCCAGAATGCGAGGCCCTGATCTCAAAAGCCTGTACTAGGCAGGAGAAATAGAGAGCATTTAGGAGGAAGACTTGATGCGGTGTGATAATTGATGAAATATTCACAGCAACAGAGAGGAACATGATTGTCACTTGGATTCCGCATAAGGCACTAAAAACTTCAAGTTTGTTTTGTAATACAAAACCCTATAGCCAGGAGCTCGTGCCTGTAATTCTAGCTACTCTGGAAGTTGAGATCTAAGGATCACAGTTTGAAGCCAGCTCTGGCAAGAAAGTCTTAAGACTTATCTCCAATTAACCACTGTTAGCCCAGTGAGCTCTCTTCCCACAGCTTAGCATGCTCCTTCCCTTGGCAACACTAGGGCCCATTTAGTAAAGGCAGTAAATAATCAGTCTCCAACCCTTTTTACTTTGAGATAGCACCCCTCTGGGGCAGTTACCACCATAGAAGGCAGCAAGATCCCCTTAGAGTGACCTTCAGGTCTGGGCAGCTGCAAGGCCCCTTATTTACTACTTGGGCAGCAGCTGTAAATCCTAGTCCACCGTGATGAAGCCCCTAGTCCTCATGTCCTAGACCCTTCTAGCCCCTCCTAGCCTCAGTAGGTTATGTAGGTCATCTCAGACAATAGGCAGCACTTCTCACTTCTCTCTTGTGGGTCTCTTGCCTGTCTCTTTGCTGGCAATAAACTTTTGTTCTTTGTACCTGGATGTCTGCATGATTTTCTGACAAAGTCTAATATACTCATAACAACCACTGAGAAAGTTACAAGTGGAGCTGTGATTTAGGTGGTAGAGCAACAGCAGATCAAAAACAAAAACAGGCAAAAATCCCCATAAACCAAGAATCAGGGGCCAGGCCCTGAGTTCAAGTGCCAGAACTGGCACAAAAGAAATAGAACTTATGGTAGAAAGTTATCACTTTCACATATTACTAGCCATTTAAGGAAGAAATATCTTTTTTTGGGGGGGAGGGTCTGGTCATGGGCCTGAACTCTGGGTCTGGGCACTCTCCCTCAGCTCTTCAGCTCAAGGCTAGCGCTCTACCACATGAGCCATAGTGCCACTTCTGGCTTTTTTTCTTTTTGCTTATGTGGTGCTGAGGAATTGAACCCAGGGCCTCAAGCATGCAAGACAAGCACTCTACCACTGAGCCATCTTCCCAGCCCCAGAATTAAATATCTTTAATAATGGACACTGTTCACTACAGAACAGTATAATGGCTTTGTGAGTTAAATGTCTTCATTTGAACTGGTTTTCCTGAGAAAATGCTGGTCACTTCTGATTCATCCCCAGAGTGGAGAGCAAAGGGAAAACAACTGGATTTTGACCAATGCAGAACCATCTTCAAAACCAGCACACTAAGCCGGGCACCAGTGGCTCACATCTGTAATCCTAGCTACTCACAAGGCTTAGATTTGAGGATCACAGTTCAAAGCCAGCCCAGGCAGGAAAATCCATGAGACTCATCTCCAATTAACCACCAAGAAACCGGAAGTTGTGTTATGGCTCAAGTGGTAGAGCACTTGCCTTGAGCTGAAGAGTTGGGGGACAGTGTGCAGGCCCAGAGTTCAAGCCCCACGACTAACCAATAAAACCAAAACAACCACAAAAACAGCACACTGCTGTGTCTATTCTACTCAAAGAGCTCTTTAAATGATTCAGTGCTGACTTATGTATGGAACCAGAAATTATATAACCTCAATTACCTGAATGGTAGCCAAGAATCAGAACATAAAGGACAGCCCTGAGTATCAAAAGAGGTACAACTGGGCACCAGTGGCACCGGTAATCCTTAACTACTCAGGAGGCTGAGGTCTGAGTTGGAAGTTGGAAGACAGTCTAGACAGGAAAATCTATATCTCATATCCAGTTAACAAGCAAAAAGCCAGAAGTGGTGTGGCTCAAGAAAGCACAAACATGAGCAGGAAAAGCTAAACAAGCATAAAGCCCTGAGGTCAAGCTCTAGTACACTCTCCTTCTCTCAGAGGAAAGAAAAAAAAATGATTGCAAAGAAAACTCAACATGATAGAAGACTATTGATAGTGGTTTACTTTATCCCTCATGACTAGCAAGTGTTAGGATCTCTCTCTGAACCTACCAGCATTTTCCCAGAGAGCCCTGCCCTGTTAATTCCATGGGGATGGCACCAGGCCAGCTGTTCCAGGCCTCACGAAGTGCACACAGCCATACCCCTATGAGCATTACCAATTATTCTGTACCACTAGGTCTCCAGAGAATTGGTGGCTTTGATTATGACAACAGTTGCTCACTTCATTACTAAAAATGACCTAATTCAGCCAGGCTCTAGTGGCTTATGCCTATCCTAGCTACTCAGGAGTCTGAGTTCTGAGGATTACAATTCAATGCAAGCTTGAGCAGGAAAGTCCATGAGTTCTTATCTCCAATTAATCAGCAAAAAGTATACACAAAAAAAATTCACTTTTTTTTTTCCCACCATGGGGCTTGAACTTTGGGCTTGGGCGCTGTCTCTGAGCTCTTCAGCTCGAAGCAAGTATTCTATCACTTGAGCCACAGTTCCATTTCTGGTTTTCTGGTGGTGAATTGGAGATAAGAATCTCACAGACTTTCCTGCCCAGGCTGGCTTTGAACCATGATCCTCAGATCTCAGCCTCTTGAGTAGCTAGGATGACAGGTGTGAGCTACCAGTGCCCAGCCAAAAAACCCACTTCTTTCTGCATTATTTAACTGTATACACAAAGTTTATTCTGGGCACTATTTTTTTTTTTTTGGTTGGTCGTGGGGCCTGAAAGCTGGGTCTGGGCGCTGTCCCTCAGCTCTTCAGCTCAAGGCGAGCACTCTACCACTTGAGCCACAGCGCCACTTCCGGCTTTTTCTGCTTATGTGGTGCTGAGGAATCAAACCCAGGGCCTCATGCATGTAAGGCAAGCATTCCACCACTGAGCCACCTTCCCAGCCCCTCTGGGCACTATTGGTCTATATATTTGTCTTTATTTTAGTACCACCTTGTTTTGACTATGGTAACTTTGGAGTAAGGTTTTTTGTGTTTTGTTTTTTTTTAATTATTTTTGCAGATCCTGGGGTTTGAGCCCAGGGATTGGGTATTGTCCTGGAGCTTCTGCTCAAAGCTAGCACTCTACCACTTGAACCACAGCACCATGTCAGGTCTTTTCTGAGTAATTTATTGGAGATGAAAGTCTCATGTACTTTGCTTCCCTGGTTAGCTTCAAGCCACAGTCCTCAGATCTCAGCCTCCCAAGTAGCTAGAATTATAGGCATTGAACCTCTGGCATACAGCTATAATTAAGTTTTAAAGTCCAGAAGTATGAGTTTTACAACTCCTTTGTTTGTTATTAAGACATTATGGCTGTTCCTTTGAGATTCCAAAGAAATTTTAGAATGATATTTCCTGTTTCTGCAAAACTGTCATTAGGATTATGATAGATTGGTACTGGGAAGGTGGCTTAGTGGTAGAGTGCTTCTCTTGCATGCATGAGGCCCTTGGTTAGATTCCTCAGCACCACATAAGCAGAAAAAGCTGGAAGTGGGACTGAAGCTCAAGTGGTAGAGTGCTAGTCTACAGCTGAAGAACTGAGGGACAGCGCCCAGGCCCAGAGTTCAGGCCCCAGAAAAGATTATGATAGATTGAATTGACTCTGTAAATAGCTTTGGGTAGTGTGTGTGTGTGTGTGTGTGTGTGTGTGTGTGTGTAGTGAGACAAGTTTGAGTCTCGAGTACTTTCCCTTAGCTTTTTTTGCTCAACCACTTTTAAGCCATAGCTCCACTTCTGGCTTTTTTTGTTCCTTAATTGGAGATAAGGGTCTCATGGATTTTTCTGCCCAGATATGCTTCCAACTGCCATCCTCAGCCATCTGAGTAGCTAGGATACAGGAATGAGCCACTGGTGCCTAGATCAGTTAATGATGATCATTAAAATGATTAATCAACAAACTGTAAATATTTTCTCTCATGTGGAAGTTAGATCTAAAATATACTAGGACATGATAAATGATACAGGACTGTAGGCATTCTTAGGAGAGGGACACAAAGGTGCAATGCCTACGTGCTGCTGATCCTATAAAATAATCTTTACTGAAATGAACTCCAGGAAATGGAAATGAGGAGTTTTTTTCTTTGTGTTTTCTTTTTGTCTTGTTTATTTGTCTTTGAGAGGACAAATGGGGGGATGGAGGGCACAGAAGTGGAGGGACAAAGGGTGAAAATGCAGCAATGGTACTCACTGGACACAGTTGAAAATGAACCATACAGCCAGGTGCTGGTGGCTCACACTTGTAATCCTAGCTCCTCAGGAAGTATCAAGGTTCAAAGCCAGCCTGGGCAGAAAAGTCCCAATGAGATGCTTTATCTCCAGTTATCACCTCAAAAACCAGAAGTGGTGCTGTGGCTCAAGTGATAAAGCACTAGCCTTGAGCACAAAGAGGCTCAGGGATAGCACTCAGGCTCTGAATTCAAGCCTCACAACCACCACCAACAAAAAAGGACTATACAACTTGTAGGTGGGGATGGGAGAGCAGAAAGGGAAGGGGTAACATTGCCCAAACAGAAATGTACCTTTTACCTGACTTATGTAACTGCCACCCCTCTGTACATCACCTTTATAATAACAATAAAAATACTTACCAA